AGTGGCTTAATAGCTCGTGCATCGCTACATCGCTCAGCGGCACCAATGGTGCGTTATGATCCCCTACGGTTGTCTTTCCCGGAAAGGCCCCGGCCCGGCGTCGCCAACACCCGCTAAGCCGCAGCGCCGAGAAAGGCCGGCCAGGGCACCATCGAGGAGGGGCCACGCCTCTGAGGTCCCGGGCGCCCGGGGAACCCCCCGTGACCCTCGTCGGGCTGGGATCCCTCTCGTGGAGAGCAGGCGCTGGCCTCCCCCGACCCCGCGTGTCCTCCTCGTCGGGCGTCATGGGGTCGTCCATGGAGGGCCCCGACAGGGGGCTCCAGCCTACCCCATGTTCCCCATTGGAGTCCCTGGGACGTGATCGCATCGCCGCCCCGTGAATCACCGGGCAATATCCTTTCAGCTAAACCTTTGTCAACTACCTATCGGTGCCCTTACAGAACCTTGTGACGGCCTCTTATCGGGAAAACAAGAAAATAAAGCAACGTATTTCGAGCCCCAGCTTTTGCAAAATCACTTGCCACAAACACTTCCACATCATGGGATGGTATGATAATCCGCGTTTACATCTCCCCATTACGTCTAATAGATAACCTTCAGGGATAGAGAATGCCAAAGCTCAAAATAAATTTATGAATTTCAGTGCCTCATAGCGGAGGTCTGGCATCTAAGCCGAATTGTACATAAAAATAGACACAATAACCAAAATCGATGCAAGCAAAAACAGAAAAGTAAACTGTGAATCAAACAATATGGTAGAACCGACACCATTCAATAGAATTGAAGCACCGATGGAAAAAGACTTCATGATGTTATCTGAATAGCGCATCACCAACGCCACCATAATACCTCTACATGCATGGAACAAAACCAAAATCACCACTAGGTAGTCGAAGCCTGTGAAATAGGATCGAATAAAGCTCCAAACAAAAGAATACGACTCGTCTGACTCCATGACGGAGTCACCAGACTGGTTTGCGCGGTTTATGAGGCACTCATTAACTCCAAGAGAGATAAAGTAAAGGATCGAAAAAAACGCGAGATGGACGTTCCTCACAGATAAAAGACAGCGATGCGAACGCTTTTTGAAAATCCACTCCATGTACACACTTGAGATCGAAGAGAGAGTACAGGCAATCACGACCGAAGCTATTCCCATGATATAGTGCTCGTAGTTGGTATCCATCCCACTCCCATTTCCAGACGTGCCCGTTGTGCTGTTCATCTTGGGGGCTGATTCTGGGCTTCGCTTCGCGTTGTTTAAGGCACTAATCTGTGCAAGTATAACACCAACAAAGAGGACGACAATGGCCAGCCAGCGCTGAGAGTTAAGATGGATACCCAAGAATATATACATCACGAAGGCAATAATAGGAATGCGCATTTGACTGAAAAGCTGAAAGGTGACGGGGTCCAACATGCGGAATGCATTAAGAATGAAATAATTCTGAACTCCATACCACACGGCGGGGGGCAGCATAATGAAGCCCTCAAAGTTGTTCTGGAAAAGGCTCACCTCACGCAGATACTCAGACCAAAAGTTCAGCAAAGAATAATGTGGGGATGAATTCTGGAGCTTGTAGACTGCCAAGTGTTTGCCGAGCATATCATCCCCCAACTGAGAGGTGATGTCAGTCTTGACATCGATATTTGACTTCAGAGAGCTCGCCATAGCCATACGCTCTGACCTTTCCGATTGTTGAGCTGGTTCATGCAACGTTGACTGAGGTGAGGGTGAATCGTGTACAATGACTTCACAGCCTGTAGTATCAATCGGCACTTTGAAGATATCCCCCTCACGTATCTTACGTCGGACGTCCAAAACACTCCAGAAAAGCGACAGTAGCAGCTTCGTGCATTCTACGCACATTAGGAAGTGCGACGCCGTGAAGGACTTTACCTTCCCCGTAACGACACTCTTCCGCTGCTGCACATAAGTCGAGAGAAGCACAAAGCCTGAACTCTGAACAGTCAGAAAAAGCAATAGTAATGCGTTAAACCTAAATACATGCTTCTGTAAAAAGTTCTGGGCATGGAACTGACATATACGCCACATATCTTTAAAGCTTACGAGTATACGTAGTTTCACAATCTCGCTTGGATCAGCCGTAGGATACGTTGTGCTTAATTTTATAGGGCGTGCAATATGAAATTTTAGACAGATTACAACCTAGCTATTAAACGAATAATGAAACTTCAAAGTTACTCCACAAATTTAAGGACTTTAATGTAATTATGAATATAGGTTAAGCGTGGAGGCTACTGTAAAGAGTTTATAAGACTACAGTAACGACACAACGCTGAGATAAAAAGATAAGCGAATATTTCAAGAATCCTTGCATATCACAAGCTGTTATAATAATGTGAGAAATGAAGCCATCAACCTAAGCTGCGCAGCTAAACTGAACGCAGTTGTTTCGCACGAAAGAAAAAAGAGCAGCGAAGGTTTTGAAACCAGTAACATCCTTCCGAGGACCATTGATAACCATTGTTAGTCCCTTTCACGATGAAATACACCTAGTAGACAGAGCACCGCATGCTCGCAGCGGATAAATCACAAAGAACGTGCATGCCTACAAGCCGTGCATAGGCAATTTTACACGTAAAAAAATATCATTATACACATTGTATACGCAAGAGAGAAAGAATAGCTATTAACATACGATTACTCACGAGGTCTCCTTCATAATCACATCCTGTAAGCTAAGCCCAACGAACTCAAGGTAGCGCCTTAGCGAGCGCTGTCTTCCAAGCGCACGGAGCAGTGTCGGGTCTCGCCGTGCGAGATTGGACGCATTCGCGGAGCTCCCTGCGTGAACGGTGAAGATTTCCCGCCATCGACGCAGCGTCGCCTCACGAAGCTTCCGAATGCTGAGTGGGGGCGACTCATCCACATCGCTAGGGGAACTACCCTCCGTGGGATCCAGAGCTCGCGTCGGGTGGAGGTGGTGTGGGATGAAATCGCTTTCCCGTATATACCACCGCGCGATCGCCTCCGTTGGCGCGAAGAAGTTGAAACCACTCGTCCATAGCGTCGCGCTCAGATACAAGTCAGTCTCATCGTCGGTGAGGTAAAATAAGTACGGATCGAGATGAACGGCTTCCGGTCGGTGCGCGGTTGTCCGTAGATCTCCCTCATTTCGCCGCCGCCCTCGCGCGGAGGTGTTCTCGTCAGGTCGTCTCGCGGAAAGCCGCCGCGTGAGATCCGTCAAGGAGAGCAGCAGCTCATCCTCGGTGGAGTGGTTAAAGAACGCCTCGGCGCGGGTGAAAAGAAAGTCGCTTGAGGCCACCCCTTGAAGCCAGAAAGGCGTCGTGGATTCGTTCAACGTCTCCTCGCTCCAATCTGAATCCCCCGACAGGGTGGAATAGAGGCGATTGATCCGGAGAGCATTCCTGTCGCTCAGATGGATAGCATCCGGACCCGATAGCGCACCGGTGCGGCCTGGCAAGAACCCCGACGACGATGTTGACGTGGATTCAAAATACCGCATGTCATGCAAACAATCGCTGCCGCGTCGCTGCCTGCGCTCCACGATTTCAAAAGGGAAAGGCGAGCAGGAAGGAGCACAGGGGCCTCGGAGTACCGTCTTCGGATGATTCAGGCTCACCTCCCCTGCGCCCGCGGCGACCGCGTTGGCCTGCAGGGTGAGATGCGCTTTAATCCGATCGCGGTTTGCCACGATCCAGCAGATTTCATATCGCCGCCGATGAATCGCCTGCGTTTCCGCCACAAACCAATCCTCGCAAACCCCTTTTCCCGGCGAAACCTCGAAAAGCCCGACGATGTCGTCCTGGGTGGTCGAGAGCCCCTCATCGGACGGGCGCGTCGTCGGGGACTGCACCGCGGTCTCTTCGAGGAGTGATTTAGGAGGGTTCATGATCAAAACAAAGGCCTCGGCCGCGCTGAGGCTTGGCTGCCCGTCGCGCGCGAAAAAAAGCCGACGCTTTGTCGTGAACGCGGAGGAGGGGCTGCTTTCGCCACCCGCCGCCTCGATCCCCTCCTCCGGGCGGCGCGAAAGGACGAAATCGCGGAAGGAAGCATGCCTGGCGGAAAATCGCCGAGGCAAGGGGGTGTTGGGGGGCTGACTCCCTCGCCTCGTGGGGTGGGGCTCGGAGGCTGGCGGGATTTCCGCCTCGCCTTCCCCCACAGGGAACCCCGGGCCGTGCGGTAACGCAAGCCGAAAGCCGAGTCCGGGATCCCGCTCGATCCGGCAACGGAGCTCCTGCAGGGTGAAGGGCGCCTCGGGCGAGCCGGAGGCGGCCGGGCAGGGCCCCTCCATTTCCGCCTTTTCCGCCGCGATCTCGCGAATCGTCCGGCGCATCGCCTGCAGGAGAAGCGCGGGGAACCCCGCGGAGGACGGGCTCGCGAAGAGCGGCAGGGGCCGACTCGTCAACACCGCCCGGTTTGGCTGCGGCAGGCGAAGATACATCAACCGCAGCCGCCAATCCCAGCTCGGCGTCAACACGACCCCGGCGCGCAGGAAGATCACGTAGGATTCCCCGCGGTAAAGCTGCAGGGCCGCCACGCGCGCGGCGTGGGTGGACGAAAACGGCAGCCTGCGGGCGGCCGTGAGGTTGGAGGGGTTGGGGAGGGTGGAAAAGGAAACCGGAACGTTCACCCGCCGCGTGCGGATGTGATCCTTGTATTCCAACCCATAACTCGCCCCGACGGCATGCGTCGTAAAGGCGTGAGGGATGCATGAAAAGAGGCGGGCCTGCGAGGGTGCCTCGGCCGGGGCCTCGCGATCGACCAAGGCGATCTCCGGGAGCCCCATAAACACCCCGGCCGGCCACCGGGCGTGCGTGAAAACGCTCTCCACCGTCATCGCGCAACGCGCGCGGTCGAGTTCGGCCTCGAGGCCCCACCCCCACGCCCCTTTTCGTCGTCGGATCGTCATTGCCGTGGGGGGCGCGACGAGGACGACGAAGATGCTTCCCTCCAGGCCGTACCCCCGCCGGGTGAGGTGGGCGGGGCTCCAAAACGTCGTCGAGCGCGCCACGTGGGTGGCGTAGCCGTCGTCGTGGAGCTGCTGCTCGGCCTCGACATTCACCCGGTGGATCTCACCCACCGCCGAGTCCTCAAGGGAAGAAAAAGAAGAAGAAGAAGAGGAAGAAGAAGAACGCTCCCGGGCTTTCCACCAGCGAAAGAACGAGAAGGTAGAGGAGGCTACGGGTGGGGGGTAGGCGCCATAATAGCGTTCCAAAATACCCTCCGGGGTCTCCCCTTCACGTGTGGTGTGCTTCTTCTTGGCATTTAATCGCTCACTCGGGGTTTCTTCGCTCGGCAACCTTTTTGTAGATTCATCCCCGTCCGTCTTGGCGCCTTGAGTGGAGTTCTCGCCCTTGTGGTCGGCTTTGGGGGTCTGGGCAGCGCCTTGGGAAGTGAGATTCGTGAAGCTTGCAAAGAGGCGCACAAGATACAGCAACTTTTCCAACGAAGCATCCACTGAAAGCAAACCGCACTCAGCCAGTTTTCTCCTCACATCATTCCCAAGTTCGTGATTTAAAGTAGCAGGAAATTCACCCTTGACCTCCGACTCGGTAGACCGCCATTCCATTTCCTCAGGATTCTGACTATGGTTTTGGAAAAAAAATTGATCCATGACGCGAGAACGGATGAAACCAAATCCAAGGCCAGAAGCGAGGAATAGCGTAATGAGAGAGAAGATTATCAAGATCCACAAGCAGGCTCTCCAATCCCGCAGAGATCCTCCCGTATACACATATTTTCCTTCTCTTTCAGCCCGGTCCGCCATGTTCGGTGTACCCTTCCACATACAAACAATAAGAAAGAAGAATTACCTTTGAAGAAGAGCTTAACCCACAGATTAACCTCCTTGAAAACAGACAAAGAAAGATCGAAGATAAGCTTTTTCTGTTCAAAATAGAGACACCTAGAGATGACACGCCAATAGAAATTATTTAGAATGAAGAAAATAAAAAAGCTAAACGAATATAACCTAGTTGAATTATCCATCGATTATACGTGCATGTGTACAAAAGTGTCGAAAACGAAGAGAGTTCATCGCGGACGGTTAAGATTTGGAAGCGTGCTGGCCCCAATACTTCGTATCCGACAAAAAGGGCGCCAAGGCGAAGATCAATCCATGGCTATACGCCGTCGCGCGATCCAGCACCCCTGCGGTGAGGACCCCCATCGCGCCGAGACCCGATCGGACATCCTGCTCCCCCGTCAACGCATCCATCACCTCCGCGAGCTCCTTCCCCTCCGTCAGGATCGGCGTCATCAACGCCGGGCTCATCTCAAAACGCGCGGAGGAGCCCAACCCGACGCGGCCGGTTTGCCTCTCCACCACCGCCATCCACCCACATTCGAAATACCGCTCTCCCTCCTCATGATCGTTTCGTTCCCCCTCCCCTTTCCCTTCTTTTGCTTCTTCTTCCGCGAGAGAAACGTGCTCAATGCCACCCTCGAGGCCGACGCCAAAATCGGCGTGGGGAAGGCAGCGGAGGGCCGCACGGGCGCGGGCGAGCGCGCCGCGTTGGGTTTCCCCCGCACTCATCGGCTGCGCGCGGACGCCGGAGGGCACCTCGCAGGCGACGACGTCGTGCGTTTGGCGAGGAAAGCAGCGCTGGACGACGGCGTGGACGCTCGCGAGTTTCGCGCGGTTGGTCGTTCCCACCGCCCAAACCACCTTTTCGCCCTCCCTTTTCCCGGCAACCACACGAGAAAGTTCCACACTCGATCCGACCTCCATCACTGCGAATGTCTGTGGATACGCTAGGATGCGGGTTCGTGGTTGTTGTTTATTTTCTTCTGGAGGGTTTCCTTCCGTCACGGCGGGAAAAATAGAAATAAAAAAGAAAGGGGGGAAAAGGTAAAAGGTCAGTAGCAGAGCGCAAGAAGCCAGTGCTGAGTGGTGGAGGAAGAGCGAGATCTCTCGACGGCTTTCCTCAACATTACGCTTTGAAGTGGGAAACAACTCAGGATTGGTTAGAAAAGTATAGCATTGAAACTCACAGCACAGCACCTATCCCCACACCCAGCCATATATATATATATATATATATAGATAGATATATAGATAGATAGATAGATAGATAGATATTTATATGCATTGGATGGATAATGGAAACATATTATACGTTCTCGTTTATCACGAAGCTCATTGATTATAAATGCAGACCCTATCGTATTAACACGGCAACAAAAAATGTTTCCAACACTGTGTTCGCTTCTAATAATGTCCTATAAATGAAAAGAAAACGGAAATGAATTAAAATGATGAGAAGCACAGCATTGCATTCAATTCTTTTTTTTCCTGAATACGAAAAGAGAGGATGCGACCACACGCTTGCAGGCTTCCGATGGTAACTCGATACACGGGCAACTGAAGAACACAATTATACAAAAAAAAAAAAGTACATCTATCCGTGCTCTTCCGGTTGGTTCCTTGCCCTTTCTCCAGACTTTCCGTTGTTCCATTCCTCCCCAGCATCTCTCTCTCTTTT